ATATCCCTGTAATTATTACACACTGTAGCTTTAAGTTAGTTTTACTTTGTTTTCATCAAGACACCTGAGCTGTTTCAGTGAGCTCCGATAGCTCAGTTGGAAAACCAGCTGATCGGCTGTTCTCTACATCCAGTCTGTTCCTCTGTTTGGTTTTGATGTGTTTATTTTTATTTTACTATCCAAGAAATAAATATTTTCAAGTACTCCTTGCAATACACTTGTGGACCACTAGGGGTATGAGTACCCCTGGTTGGGAATAGCGATTTTTCAAGGCTCATACTGAATAAATCAAAAATAACTGGTTTGTATCAACCCACTGAATTAATTGAAATTCGAACCAAACCGGGTCGTTTTCAGACACACCTCAGAACAGAGGGAGAAGCAGCTTTCAGACCAAAACATTGATCTTCCACTTAATAAAGACTACTTATACTTCAGCGATAGTATCAAGGTGCTACTTTATTGTATCTCTTATACTGTGTCTGTTGGCTGTGCTGTTCTTGTTCATGAAGCAGACAGAAAACGTTTTATCATTGTCTCCCTTTTATCTCCCCTTTCTTTCATATTTTCTCCTTCTTTCCTGTTCTACTTACATTGCAGTGTCCATATAATGTGTAATACTCCCTGCGTGAATTATAATAAAGCTATTTATATGCATAAATCAAGCGGAATACTATGGCAATAGCTGTACTGCTCCACTTATGAAAGCAAAATCTGTTGGGCTCTTCTTTTGGCATCGAAACAATTATTCTTATTGCCACATTGCCAGACATTTTTTTGTAAAAACAAAAATATATATATATATAATTCATTAATTAATAAAAAAAATAAAGACCTTGACTGATAAAGAAAGGGTTTATAAACATATCTTCTTTAAAGAAGTGTGACTTTCTTCCAAGGCCTTGGAGGTTCCAACCCATTGAATGTTTGCTTTGTTATCAAACCGATCTGTACTTTTGAATATGATGGACAAACAGGATTCCTGTAAACTCCACGAAACCACAGAAGAATCTTACCCCGAAGTGACTCACCTCGCGGCTGTTCCGACTTCCTCTTAGCCTTTTTTAAAA